TTCTTAAAATCCATCAGAGCCTTAAGAAGAACATGATCAAACTTTGCTGGAGCAATGTATACCTGTTTTGCTTTTATCTTCTTGACCTTTCCATTTTTTCGGGTTTCAGGAATGCTTTCCACTATTCTTACGTCATACTTCAATGTCTTGATAAAATGTTCAACATCGTAGATACCTTGAAATCCACTGAGGATTAATAGAAATAAAGTTGCACGTTATGCCTCAATTAATGGTAAGAACTCAAACTACTAAAAAGTTTGTGAGAAATATAAATGAATCAAGAGCAAGCTTGGGACCAAGTTTATGGTAACAAACTAACTCCAACAAATATTTTGAGGGACTGTCTAAAATCAATCAATATCATGCTCAAGGGAAGCTTCCTCCTCTAGTGATAAAGAAACCGGTGCAACAGTCTATTCATTGTAAACACCATGATGAGACGTAGGATTTACTTAGTCTAGTCTTACTTCCTAGTTAACTTTTTGGAGAGCAGGATCTCACAAGGAATAGCAAAATCACTCAGTAATAACATCAGCTACATAAAAAGTAAATTTTAAAATATCAAGTAAGAAAAGAAAGTGTCTTGATGCCCATGATTCAAGATGAGTGACTGAACTTCAAACTGTCTTTAATTTCTCAATTTTCTTTAATTTGTAAAGGTTGTCTCTATCAGAGAAAATCCACCAACTGCTGGGTGCATGACCAGTATACTTCTATACGCATAAAGTCTCCCTTTACTTCAGTTTATAAATTCTTGAAATGGTTATAATTTCAACAATAAAAATAAATAAATAAATAGAGAGCGCACAAATATCACACTCAAATGGTTCCATTAAGGTACAAACCATCTGAAGAGTATTAGATAAACTGTTTTCTACTTTTTTTAATCATCGACCAGCCAGCCTGTATACTCCTTTCATGACAGACTTAGAATAATACCTTGCATGTTGTTGAGGATACTTAGAACCAACATCATTAGAGTAAAGAGATTTAAGCAAATTCTCAAATAACAATGTCAATCGTGATACATGTTTTAAATGGTATAAGAATTAGGGAACTCGGGGAACTAAGTACCTATCATCGTGCCAGAAGGAATTTGCATCCAACTCAGGTAACACCAATGTAGCATTCATAATTCGTGCAGCAAGAACTGCATTACAGATCTATAAAGTCACAAGCATTTGTTATGTCGAATATATCAATAACATAGAGGACGAAAAAAGAGATACCAATCAATCCCAAATTAGTTAAGAGTAATTATATGAATTCTCATTATCCGTTCTGCTATATTAAGGTTCAATCAGACAATACTAAACAAGTGTTTTTTTATGACAGAGGTGTTTAGGCCTTCCGCCGGGTACATGTTGCCTCCCACCAACACAGATACTGAGTAATTTTGTCCAACAAGGCTTAAGTAGATAGGAAGAATCGCCTAGTGTTTTTGCCTTCACAGAAATTTGAACCTGAGCTCTCATGGTTCTCCTACTTCATAGATCATTAGGCCACACCCTTTGGGTGCAATACTAGAGAAATGCTTTGAGGCAGATTACGAATCGTTAAAAACTAAATTTTCTCTAAATCTCACATGTATCTTTATAAAGAAGTAACTAGATAAAATGGAACGACAACAAACACCAGACATACTATTCATGCAACAAGAAGAAGTCTTAATTCAACTATATAGAACTTTTGTTCGTATTATGTTCTATTCTAGGCTAAATATGCATTCATCTCGAGAGACTACAAGTCTTTGAGATAATACATTCACATAAACTTAGGTCAAGTTTATCACCTTTAATTATCAAACTGTAAATGATCAATGCATCGGGAAGTGTACAAAGGATATGGTCAAACAATTTCAAGCTACCTTAGGGCATACTCCCTCTGTCCCAATTTATGTGCAATGCTTGACTAGACACAGTTTTAAAAAGAAAGGAAGACTCTTCAAACTTGAGGTCTAAAATAAGTCATAGACATTTTGTATGGCTATAAATCATCTTATTATGGGTAAAATGGAAGTTCAAAGTTAAACTATTTCAAAATAAGGAAGTATGTCATTCTTTTGAAGACATACTAACAAGAAAATGACACATAAATCAGGACGGAGAGAGCATTATTCTGGAATTTTCATCTTTTATTGGACAACTTATGCAATTGCATATGACTGCAAATCCATTTAACATCTCTATTTGTAGATCCTTTACTGGTTGGTATACCTCTTGTATAAGGCCTTTTTTTGGCCTTGTGATAAATGAAAATATTTACCTGATTAAAAAAAAAGAAAAAGATGCAACTTCACCAACCACTTCAGTCTAATCATTGGTAAATGTTAATGTATCTTTTTTTTTCACGTAGCACTTGACTTCATTAATCATTCCTATTTCAATTTATGTTACATTTCCATCTTAACTTTCACTTTACTAGAACACTAAGACTAGATCTATCCGAATCTAACTTTCTTGTTCACTAGCTTCTTTGACCCATCCTTCCAATAAGACAAGGAAACCTTCCTATCTAGCTCTACTTCCCGAAGTTGACGTTGTTATACCAACTTTATAACCTACTTCCAGAAGATGATGTTCTTTGATAAAAAAATAGTAATATGGCAGTTAGAGGGATTTACTCCAGTAAATTATATGAAAAAATATTCATAAATCTCACACCAAGGAGGCAAGGATCAGTTACGCACCGCACTACGTTGTTGGTTCAGACCACCATTACACCGAACCCGTAAATAGCCATTGCTTTCCCTGGCAGGAGCTGCATGTGAGAAAAGATAAAGAGATGTTGGCATAAAGCTACAGCATTGCAGATTTTGATATCGTAATTGTGTTCATTTTGAATTTGGTCTGGGACATAGATAGATAAAATTGCATACGAGGCCAATCTGATCGAGGAGCAGATGACGCCCTCCAACCATCAGAAGCAGCAGTTCCCCAGAGTGCCTCTGTATTGATCTGCTCAGATAGGAAAAAGAACATAAAAATATGTAACATAATAATCAACTGACGAAAAGTGAACTAATGGTTCTGATTCCATGATGGACAACAGATTACATATTTATATACAAAAATAGCTAAAACCCAGTGGAGATGTGGTAAGATAAATAGCTCAGCTCATGCAAGTATTCTACATTAGGTAGTATCATGTAATACTATATGTTGCACATTTTATGTTATAAACGATGAGCATATCAGAGATTTTTGCAATTATCAACTTCCTGCTTAGAGAAGAGGAAAACTGTAAAAATTTGAAATGAACTATCATCAACCAAATTTGTAGCTGATTTTCATTAACCGTAAATAGGACTGTTTTTCTAGCTAAATCACCACATTTCTAATAAATACTGCAGATTCCTAACAAAACTAAATTCAACAGTAAATAGAACCTTTTTTCTAGCTAAATCACCACATTTCTGTTATATTACTGCAGATTCCAAACAACACTGATTTCATCAGCAAATAGGACTATTTTTTCTAGCTAAATCACCAAATTTCTAATAAAATTAAGCAACTAAAAAAAAACTACAAAAGCAATCCAAGCTAATTACAAATAGCTTAAAACGCAGTACCACAGCTGAAGAACTGTTACTATTGCTATTCAACATCGCAGACATGAGCATGAACATACAAAATCACCACAACAATAACAGCAAACAGGACTTTTTCTAGCCAAATCACCACAATTCTAATCTAATTAAGCAACTAAAAAAACTACAAAAGCAGCCAAGCTAATTACAAACAGCTTAAAACACAGTACCTCAGCTGAAGAACTGTTACTATTACTACTCGACATCGCAGACATAAGCAGGAACATACAAATCACGACAACGATGACAGCAACCGAGAGCCTTATGAACATTGCCTTAACACCTCCTAATTGCTGCTTCAGCGGTTGCCGATCCCCAGCCCGGCCGCAAACCCGCCATAGACATCAGATCCAAAGCGAAACTCAATCAAATCAACATACATAAACGAAAAAACTTGCAGATTTTTGTGAAAATAAGAGATTTATGCATGAATTTACCTCCGCATTTTGTTGAGATCCGAGAAATGGAAAATTCCGTGAAGCTTCAAAGTAGAGAAGAATTTCGTGCGCTGAATCTTTGGAGAAATCTGCCGACACTAGGCGAATTGAAGGCTAAAAATTTAAGAGTAAGAAATTGAGGAAACAATTCGTATACATATAATCGTGTTATTGAAGTCAGTGGTTTTTTTAGTTTTAGAAATTTGTACTACATGTATAATCAATGTTAATTTTTTTTTACAGGTTGGCTTAATTATAAAAATATTACTGTAGGTAAGTGTTAGGTACAATGAAAAATGTGTTTTTGAAAAATTGGTGAATTTATTATTTGTTTTTTTAAAAGTATTTGATACGTAGGTAAAAAATATTATGTTAAAATATTTGTTTGATTTTCTCATTTTAATTGGTTTGTATTGCTTTTTTTAATTCGTTTCAAAATAATTCTTTTTTTTTTTGAGATTCTATAGATATAAGACCATAGATTAGAGGAATTTTTAGTACATTTAACATATTTTTAGTTAAGATTATGAGTTTTCTTTAAAAATATTACTAATAAATTATAATTGAGAGAGTTACAATCTAAATTTTAGACAAAGCTATCAAAATGAAAGTTATCAGAATCTGTTACATACTATAATATAATAAAAAATAATAAACATTTTATGAAATAGTTGAGGATCGAAATATCGAATAAACCAACTCGAACAGTTAAACTCATCTTCATATTAGATTCAATTAATTTTTAATACTTTATTTTACTGAAACACATTTTAGAATCTACCGGTCCAATACACTCGAAATCATACAAGTAAGTGAGTAACAACGCTGAATAGAATTTATGTACTCACGTAAACTTAAATTTTTTATTTTTTGATGAAAATAAATAAAATAATTTTTTTTTCAAAAAAGAAACACTTTTATATTTCTACATATTTCAGTTTTAAAAAATTGATTAGCTACACTCTTATATTAGTGATGACTACTATACTTGTTGCATCACCATAGAAGCATTAAAATGTCGCTTTACCGGCAGCTCCTCCGTAAAACCCCGGCGGCCCAAACCCTAAAACCCATTCTCCGATCAATTTCCACCGCCGCCGATTCCACATCTACCGCCGTACAATCGCATCACAATGACCACCAGCGGAACCATGAGTTCCGTCCACCGAGCGACTACCTGAATTCATGGACAGCACCTAAGGATCCTAAGGAGGCGGAGGCTAAACTAGCCCGTTTGCGCCGTGAATATGCGAAGAAAGTGAAGGAGGTGAGGAAAGAGTACATACAAGAAATGGAGCTTCAGAGGATTGAGAAGATGAGAAAAGATGAAGCTAAAAAAGAGGCTCAGAGGATTGCTAATGAGGAACGCAAGGTTGCTAAAGCTGCTGAGAAGAAAGCGAAGGCGAAGGAGAGAGAGGCTGCTGAAGAGGAGTTCCGCAAAACTCTGGTATGTGACTAAAAATCTAAAAAAATCAACTTTTTTGTCAGTTTTCGTACTTACATTGTTTTGATATTACTTGAGTATACCCATTTTGCTTATCCTAATATTGCGTTTGGTATGGATGGACACGGTTTGAACATTTTTTCATGTTTGGGTGGAATATGTGACATAGGGAGGGGGGGAGGGAACCCGGCAAAACTCATGCTGAATCTCCCACTGCTTTGTCCGCTAGGCAACCGCCATATATTATAGGCCTAAATGGAGCAAAATAGATGTAAAGGATTCATATAGCCGGACCAACTATGTCAGATTGAGGTGTAGTAGCAGGAGTTGTGATTTTTACTGCTTGAAGTAGCTACTAGGTGATGGTAGTTTTTCCTTAATATATGATAATTGCCATCAGTGAGGAGTCTATGCAAGTGTTAGAAGTTCTAGTTAGTTGGTTTAGGATGTATTTTTATTTTTTTTTGACAAAGGTAACAATTTTGTGTATTAATCTTTAGCACTAAAGGCTGGGATCCCAAATTTACATCATGGAGCTACATATAGGATGTATTGTAAATGAAAAGGAATAAGGTAATGTACTAATGGTCAACATTTTCTGTATGATCACTCAATTGTTGGATACGAGCAGACTTAGGACTTTCATTTACTTGTAATTGTGTTACTGAAAAGTGCCATGAGATACTTTCTTTTGAGGTTAAAGTATGAAGACAGATCACATTGCTTAAAGAACCTAAAAGGCAGAGAATAAGAATCTGGACTTGTTCTTGCGGCTGATAAATACTGATAAGCAAAGTTGATTAATGCATTGGACGCTTCAAGTTCTAGGTATCCTATGTTATGAGCTCTGAATGTCCTCAAAGAAACTTTGTTTCATAAATATAACTAGAAAAAAAAGAGTTTTGATTATGCATGTAAGTCATAGAGTTGCAGAAAATATTAACAAAACAAGGGATGTGAAAGAGGTCTGAAGTTATGCCTGAAAATTCCATATAACATGTGGACAAGATCAAAAATAACTTATTATGCATGTGCTTCTTCGCTTAAAGCAAGGAGTGATGTGAATGGAGGGGCTATCGCTTCAGAACAATTTCTGGCTCAAATAATGAGATGTTTGTTCTTTGGATCTCAACTTTTGAGGAATTGGATAGTAGAGGCATAGTTATATGTTGGATGCTGATATAAGTTATTTTAATTCATATACATGTGGTATATTTAGTTTTCCATAAATTTGGCGCTTCACATAAGAATCAAGAAACATGTGTCTCACTTCACGCTTAGTCCTTGGCTATCTTGAACTGGAATTTGTAAATCATGTTATATAACACAAGTATTGAGATGGGATTTCTTTCTTCTTCTTTTTTGACTTCTTAATACTACTTTTCTTTATTTTAAATCCAAACAAATCAAATGTTACTTGTGGCTCTCATGTTCATCCAATTTAGATTTAAGCTGTACAATTCTCATCGTAATAGCCACTCAAACATAGACATTCAATGGTTAGCAAGGGGGATTGTTTTCCTTCTAGGAAAGTGTTTTTCAAACGCTTAGTATAACCTTTTGATGCATGGATGGTTTATGTAGAGCCTCTAACTCATTCATACATTCATAGTGATGCCTTAATACTTAATATATCACATTGTAAGCTATATTTATTGTATAGTGCCGCCTCTTGAATACAGATCCATGTACACAATGAGGTACATGCATTGGACCTTGTTTACCAAAGCACTCCCCAAGTGAGCCTCTGTGTCTTGTTTAAGGGCTTTAATGCACCTCAAGCGTGCTTTCATGAACATTATTAGTAGTTTTTTTTCCTCGCTTTTTTAGAGACAATACACACAGCTCAATTAGCAGGTTCAACTGTAATGTAGGTGCATGAATGTAGTCTGTTATAACGTTGTTGAATATGACTGAAATGCATATAGCATTGCTTGCAAATATTCTCAACAAGTATAATAACATATTCTGTGCTTCTTTAATTATTATGTTTGCAGCTTAAAGAAAGACAGGAAAAGGTTGAATATTGGAGGATGAGGGAAAAGAACTTCTCGAAGAAGAAGAAAGAGAAAAATAATCTTCTACAACGGCAAAGTTCCATGTGGATTGATGAGAAAGAGTTGGAGAAAAAGACACTTGAGGCTATCGTTGACACTGTTCATCTTTGAATTGTTTTCTTTCTCAAACATTTTTGGTCGGAGTGTTGTGTTGTTGGTAGGAGGACTGTTTTGAATAAATTCGAACATGTGTAACTTGATTACTTGGATAGGATTCTCACCCTTTCCGCGGGGAACATTTGGGAAAATTGACTCGTGTTCTTCAATTGCCAAATCTGGCAGAAAATTTACTGTAAAACAGACTTGGGATGCCATCTTATGAACTCAGAATTGCCTCTTTCTCTTTCAGAGAATTGTTTGTGAATCTTTACTTTCATGAAATTGAACATCGATTAAAATCTTTGATTAATAAGCCATATGTTGTTGCTTTTAAGATTGGTAGGCCATAATGGGAGCTCACCTATTTAAGGGACTTGAGTTTTTCTCTTGAACGGGGAATTAAGTACATCTCTCTTTACCGAATAAAGTAGATCTTAAATCTTAAGGAGCTACCACTCCCTCGCGAATTCACCATACATCGATATCTTTTGGCTCAATTTCACCTCATCAAAGGGAGCAACCACATTTTCATCATGAAAATTCTTACTTTCCATGGAAGATTAGATCTTGTAACTAGGGGTATGTGTTATCGATAAAGAAGAGGCATAAGCATTGCCTCTAGATCCATCCATCTTCCCTGGCTTCCCCATTTCCTCAAAATTTTCAACCAAAAGATAATTGCAACATAAGCAGTAAAAAATTAAGATTTCTTTGACCATACAGACGTGCTACGCCAGATAATGAGGTTCATAATCAAAAACCACATTTGTGGCACTTGCATAATAGCAAAATAAACCATGTTTATAACATTTCCTAAAATGCAAAAGCAAAAACATTAGAAAAAAGACTACTAGCTAGTCATGTCAGCCTTCTATAGAAGTATAAATATATATGATACACCGGTTGGCCACTAATTTTACAGTAAAAGATGAAACTAATTCAAACTTTCATTTACACATCTGCAAAATGGAGAAGACAAAAAAACAGTAGAGCTGGCACTTGTTGTTCCTTGGTGCCATTTCATGCGCGGTTTTTTTTTTCTTACAGGCCGAGTTTGGAGTAATAACTTGTGCTACTGAGCTTTTAGTTTATGGATCTTTACATATGGGAAAAATCCGAGGAAGTGCTTGATTTTTGGATTCCATTCTCTTTGCTGAGCACGACAGTACATCAAGAATGTATTTGCAAAGTACACATTAAAACCCATAAGGACATGCCATAGTGCATGACCTTGTGGATTGAAGTACCAGCTTGAAATGTGCTTGCAGAATAGACGATCACACAGCCAGCAGGCAGCTCCAACTAATAAAGTGGCCACATATGACTTTGCAAGCTGCTTTGCGGATCTGTCTTCTGTATGAATGTAATACTTATATGTGCGAGGAATGCATAGAAGGCACAATAGTGCATAATGTAGCATGAAACCAATACCAAAGCGAATCTGCGAATGCAGAATGGCAAATACTACACCATAAAGGAACAAAAATGTGGGCATTGTAGTCTTGTAATGCCAATCTGGTGAATAAATGATATAAATGTAGAGAAGCATTTCCCAGACCATGGGTGTCTCATCACCTTGCTGTTGCCTATCAATTTAAAGCATGGATCATAATAAATTAGAATAACCATCAAATTCAAGCACAATTGAGCAATTATTATCCAACATCTTGGATTTATGACAATTATTTCCCATTCATTCTGTATGCACAAGGCAAAAATATAGTTTTTATCTAACAAGAAACTTTAATATCAGGCATACAACATCCACACAACAAGCAAGAGGGAGAAGGTCAACTTGGTATCTGGTTCATAGTTGGCTTTATCCTGTTATGCAGCAAATTAACAAACAAGAGACTAGGCAACCATTCATGCAAATATTTAATATCTAATAGAGCTACACCATTCAGTGTTGAAATGCTAGTAAATTGTTACTTGTAGAGGCTATTCCTTTATTATGGAGGAAGAAACATGAAACAAGAAACATTTTGAAGGGACCAAGTCACATGTAGATAGGTCGATAGATTTTCTAAAGGTTTCATTAATTTGTAAATTAAGACCATCTTGACTTTTT